TGCATCAGCAACATAAGCCCCATCTAATTGCTCTTTTGTTGGATAGGCACTTGAGATCCCTGTAAGAACGGGCTGGAAACCCCAGATCTGCCTTTGTTCTTCTCACACACACACACACAAAAAAATGTCTCCCTGGTTTAAATAAAAAAAAACATCAGCTTTTGTATCATTTAAAAAATTTCACTCCAATTACAGAGTGGTACAACAGCCCTGCTTCAGCTAATAAGCATTGTCTGGGCTGTTTTCCCTGGCGGAGGAGCTGTGGGTGGGCACGCTGCGTAAGAAGAGAACTGAGGTACAGAAATCGGGCCCTGGCGGAACCTCCACCATAATTAATGTTTCCAAGCTGCCAAAAAATGCAGAATGGGGGGATTTATGTGCTGCGATGGGGGACGGAATGGGGGAATGGATTGGACAGGGTTAACAGTCTCTGGGGTTGTTTTAATGAGCTGGTATCTCAATCATTGAGAATGAAAAGGGAGAGAATAATAGCTTTAGCATTTGTCGGAGTTCCCATAACTAATCAAAGTATTCATATTAGGGATGAAAGAGATCTCAATTAATGCCACATACTGCTGCTGTAAGGTCATTTGCACATTGAAATGATTACTCGGTTAAGTTAAGCATGAATGTTTTACTTATTTCCATAAATTTAGATTTTAATCAGAGCTAATAGAAAAGATTAACTTTACTAGCTGGTAACATGCGTTCCCGTCGTACGTCTAACCTTTAATAACATGGTGCAGTGATGAAATGATAATATATTTCTTTTTCCACCATGTTCAGACAAAAATGTTATTTCCTAGGTTGTAAATTTCCACTGCTCCAGGGCCTAAAACACTATTACATCTCATTAATCCCCCGTTCAGCCATTTGATATTTCCTCCCTTTTCTGAAACTGATGTGTTCTCAGTCCGCTGGGTCACAGAAATAGGTCAGAGCACTGGATTGATAGTAGCGTGAGTGTAACGTACGATCTGAACGGAACCAGGAGCTTAATACCACAACAGCTGGTCGTGAATTACATTTTTCATTTGCTGAAATATCTCTAATGACGACAACACACGCTCGCTCAAACATCACCAACACGTTCAAAAGGCACTTTTTTGTTATTAAATAAATAATTGAAGTGGGGGGGGGGGGGGTAGCAAGACACATGGTCACACATGCAGGTACGGAAACACACACACTAACAGTCAAACACCATCTGCAAACACGACGTACGGATCTGGAGCGACAAGCATGAGACGGAGAAGCGAGGAGGGAGAAGCAGGCAGGCAGAGAGCGAAGACAACAACGACACAGAGTCGGGTACTCACCGATAGGAATGACTATCCCCAGAACAGCTACTGTGATGTTGTTACCTATGAGGTAGTGATCACTGGCAGCTGAGATGAAGAGAAGAAAGAAAACATGAAAACTCAGCAAAAACTTCTGTTCCAAATCATCGCCCCCCCAAGAAAGAACTTTGCTGCGCCAGAAAAAACACATTAATTTACATAATACACGCACAGAGATTTCACTTTCAAATGCTGATGAATCACATCGTGGCGTCTGTGTAAATGCAATGAGATGCTTTTTAATATAAGAGTGAATTTAGGAGGCGACACATTACAGAGGCGAGGTTTAGAACAAGCTGTGGGAATCAAGGGGACCGCGACAGAACTTGACCTGATGTGGGAACATTTGTTTTCTACGGTATAGAAATGATGCAACACAGTGAGGATTTATTCTACGCAAGCTCTGTGTCGTCACTCCCCCTTCAACTCTCCCCCTCCAACAGGTCAGTGACACTAATCCTGCGCCTCACACGCCTGTTAGCAGCAGGCTAGTCATTAGCCAAAGTGTGATCAGATGGTTATAATGAGTCCAGTGAGGCAGGTTAACAGAGATCACAGCTCCGTCCCTGCACAGTGACTGAGAGTGAGTGTGACTGATGGAAAATACAGTATAAACCCACATCCACACCCACACACAGATTTAATGTTCTAATTGCATAATATTTGATTGAATAATGAATGTCTGACACGTCTAAACCAACATGTGGAACATAAGAGAAACTTTCTGTGGCTCTCCGTTCACTTCTGGGGGATCTGTCCTGTTTCCTGCTTCAACACTTTGATCTGTTTGAGAGGTACGAGACATCGCAGCCACAAAAACTGAGTTGTTTCAGCCACTCTGGTTTTACTTTTACGAGTTTAATCACTAGCTACACACGTGTAGGGGCTCAATTTATGTGCACAATTGCCCGGATGATTTTGTTATCTAGTTTTCTCTGTGAACAAAATGAGATCTCTTCTTTTCATCATATCACTACACACACAACACTACACACCTGCTGCAAACTTTAATGACCAGGCATCAAAATCCTCGATTCATACAGTTTGTTTCTGCGTTTACGTGACTTCTCCCCAATCCTTTGACAGCGTGGCAGCATTTTGTCCGATGTTGCTCAAAGATTGATGAATATTACAGCCATCAGCACCAGATCTTTTTTTTTTAAACATCCACCCTGGTTCTACACGCCAGCAGCCGCAGCACCGCACGTGTGTAAGCAGCTGACGCCGGCAAACCTGACAGTGTGCGCCGAGTTAGAAATGATAACACATGACCCGTGGGTTTGGAAAACACGCCTCCTTCGTGCCCCATTTTCTCCTCCGTGCCTGCTCCTCCTCTCGTCTGAAGAGCGCTTGTGGTGGGGCGAGGAGCCCGACAACTTCAGAGACCAGAGGAAACATGTTCCTGCCTCTTAGTTACTCTGAAAAAAACATGCTTCACCAGAGTGACGACAACAGCGGCAGCAGCCATTCTCTTTAATTCCCAGAAAATCACTTTTTGATCACCTTTTTTCCATTCTGTCACTTCTTATCCTTATAAATGCTGCTTTTCCCCACGAGTGTCATTTTTTCTCCCTGCTCGAAGGCTGCACTGTCACGTTCCTTCTCGCTCCCTGTTTGTGCTTGTTCCTCTACGGTATCTTTATTGTTTAACACTGTTCCCTTTGTATTTAACAATCCTGAGATTTACTTCCCGGCTCGTTTTTTCATTTCCCCGTCCTCCTCTTGTCTCTTCCTTTTCCTCCGACTCTCACACCCATTCACAACTTTCATTATGCGTCCCCTGCTCCTTTCCCTCTGCAAAACTTTGTCATCCTCAAGCTGCTCGCTCTCCTGGTTTCTCACTATAATGAGAAATGGCTCCGATGTAAATGCAATATTGTAAAATCTGAGTTCAAACACAGTACAGCCGCTTACAATCGTTCTCACCAACCAACCACTGGTATCTTTTAGTCCATCTCTTATTCTCTATCTAGCAACAGGGTACGTGACTCTAATAACAGAAAATACTTATATAGTAATGACATACATCATTTTTTTCTTGCTTTGGTCTTAAACGGGCACTGTCAACAAAAATGATCAGATCCACTTCTAGAGTTCTTATGTTTGCTGAAAACTTTGATTCTACAG